AGACACTCGATAAAACAGTTATTTCCCTCAGAAAGACCGAGACACTCGATAAAACAGTTATTTCCCTCACAAAGACCGAGACACTCGATAAAACAGTTATTTCCCTCAGAAAGACCGAGATACTCGATAAAACATTTATTTCCCTCAGAAAGACCGAGATACTCGATAAAACATTTATTTCCCTCAGAAAGACCGAGATACTCGATAAAACATTTATTTCCCCCATGAGAATTGAACTCTGGTCTCTCAGTACGTCTGCTAAGCGCCCAACCACTAAACCATAAATAACGGCACAGAATTAAGGTGGGCGGTTGGCGGGTGCTCTGGTGTGGTTTGCTCCTTCTTTCCTATCCAACATCTATCATCCTTATCTCCCCTCCTTCTTTTTTGTGTTTGTTACTCTCTTGTAACACCTCTAATCTTCGGCATTTGTATGACCTTATTGTGTTGAAAGTGCTGTAAAACTCTTACTGAAACAGAATTAAGGACCCTCTTAACTCCCCCTCACCCACCCACAAAAAACAAAAACAAAAACAAAAACAAAACCCCCACAAAACCTAACGTCAAACCGAACCAAACAAAACAAAAACAAACAAACAAACAGAAACCCTCCCTTCACCTCCACAACCCCCCCCCCCCCCCCCTGCCCTCCAAAAACAAATAAGAAACCAACACCTCCCAAAAACAAACAAACAAACAACTCCGACCGGGATAGGCACTATTTTACAAATAAAACAAAGGCAACAACAACAACAACAACAACAACAACAACAACAACAACAACAGAAAACACTTCCACAATAAAACAAAAGTTCAATACAAACCCCAGTACATAATAATATGGGAAGTGTGCTGACAAAATGAGTTACTTCTCGGATTCAAGCCTTATGGAAATAGACACATCACGCTTTTAGGTGAAGTTTTTACAATTTATAAGTATGAAATAGTAAAAAGAACCGTTATATTTAAAGAATATGAAGTTAATAGAAAATCTACAAATTTGACCCAAGTGTCGATTTTTGGCCTACATCTCCATTTGTGGATTGTGAAAAGTAACCAATTTTGTCAGCACAACTCACATATATGTACTAAAACAAACACCGCGTACCATCTACCCCGTTTGCCACAGGTTGACGTCTGAAAACCACACCAAAACAAAACAGGAACCTGGCTGGCAGCTGTCCTTACACTGTCGTGTCCAGTCATCAGGGGAGAGACAACAAAACAAAAGTTACAAAACAAAACCCAGTACATAAAAATATTAATATGTATTAAAAAACAATTACCTTGTACCTTCAGCTCCACTCGTCACAGTTTGACGACTAAAGTTCAAAACAAAACAAACTCTACAACCCCCCCCCCCCAAAAAAAAAGACCCACGAAAAAAACAAAACAACTACCAAAGTTAAAACAAAAGCCCCGGTCTGTGGGGTCGACCATATTTCCTGTCTCAGGGCCCTGTGTGTGTGTGTGTGTGTGTGTGTGTGTGTGTGTGTGTGTGTGTGCGCGCGCGTGTGTGTGTGTGTGTGTGTGTGTGTGAGTGGGGGTTGGCCACGTTTCCTGTCTCAGGGCCCTGTGTGTCTTGCAGTGCTGAAGGATGTGTTCAACTGTCTGGTCCGCCTCTCCACCCTGGCATTTTGGTGATTGTGCTAGTTTAAAACAATTTTATTACAACAATTACTTTGTACCGTAGGCTCCGCTCGCCACAGGGATAATAAACTGCAGGAATCACGACATACGAACGTGTCACAAGCACACGACAGTTATAATTTACTCACTGACACTGACACTGACACTTCGCCAATCCCAGAAAAAAGAGAGGCAATAATAGCATGTAATTTTCTGAATGAGCAGTTGTTTTTGGGCTTGTCTTTTTCCAACGTAAAAACGTGACTGCGTCTGGAAAGCAAAAGTTACCCGCTGACCACAGAAGACTCCACATCTACTGCTTTAATGGCGGGAAAGTGAATCGTTCTAATAAATCTTTTTTTATTTTTTACCTGTACATGTAATTATCCCAGACACGCATCAGTGGGTGGTTGGCGGGTGCTCTGGTGTGGCTTGCTCCTTCTTTCCTATTAAACTTCTATCGTCCTTTATCTCTCTCCCGTCTTTCTTTTCTGTGTTTGTTACTCTCTTGTCACACCTCTAGTCTTCGGCACTAGTATGACCTTATTGCGTTGCAAGCGCCGTAAAACTTTTACTATAGCTGAAGTAAAAGCGACACTCATCGATACTTCACTTCGTTTTCTTTTTTTTTGGTTAAATGTTTTAAGGCGCTCGCAAACTGCATAAGGTCATAAGGTCATAAGGTCATAAGGTCATAAGTTCATAAGGTCATAAGGTCATAGGGTCACATAAGCGCGCGGGACACATTAAACTTTAACATGCGCAACTTGCACACGGGACTTCTGAGATTTTTCGCCCTTGTCCGAGAAGGCTAGGTGTAGATCTTTCCTACCAGAAGATCAGGGGTGTGGCTGAAAGACAGCAATAAGGAGGAGCCAAGGAGTAGCAGTAGAAATGTTGCAGAAAGAGTCAGGAGCCCAGAGGAGGGGGGCAAAAGGGTGAGGGGGTGGGAGAAGAAAGAGGAGACGAAAGCAGACAACAGAACATTGTTAGAGAGCAGGAAAGGAGGTGAAAGGAGACAATTTTAAAGAAGAAAATTTTTTCGTCGGTACCCGTATTCGAACCGGGGACCTTTGAATGAGAGGCGAACGCCTTAACCTCTAGGCCACGATGAGAAGGTAATTGCTATGTTTTTCACTCCAAAGAGAACAATGGTTTGTTGAGTTGAATTGGTCGCTTTTAAGGACAAGCGGGCTAACCCACATCTTGGGGGTTTCCAGAAATCTTGACCTATACCAAAAGTGGACATTGCCCTACCTATAGGTGAAGTTTGGTTTCATTGGTGTGTATATTTGTTTGGTTATAGAGAAAACTCTCCTTGTCTTTTAAAGATACTGAACAAAGGGCAAAAAGTTTGCCTTCGATTTTCTCAAAACAGCATTTTTCGGGATAGCCCCCTTGTGGTTAAAAGCGACCAATTTGTTGATAAGTCTAAGCTTCCGCAAGACCAGCTTCTATACTCCTTGGCTTCTTCTTTCTGCTGTCTTTCAGCCACACCCTTAATCTTCTGGTAGGAAGGATCTACTCCTAGCCTTCTTGGACAAGGGTAAAAAATCTCAGAGGTCCCGTGTGCAAATTGCGCACGTTAAAGATCCTTCGGTGGTGTAAAGTTGATAAGAGTAGGTCTAGGCCTCGGTCGCCAGGTGGGCAAAATTCAAAATGTCCTACCAACTGAAAATATTAGGTGTGTCCCGCGCGCTCATATGACCTTATGCAGTTGCGAGCGCCGTAAAACATTTACCATAAAAAAGGAGGACAGACCATTGTTAGAGGGCAAGAAAGAAGATGAAAGGAGAACATCTTAGAGAAAAACAAACAAACTGAAGTCACTGTCTGGATTCGAACCAGGGACCCAATAAATGAGAGGCGGACACCGTAACCTCTCGACCACAAAAGCTTCCCTGCCTCACGCTCGCTAATCACAGCCTATAACGTGACACCAGGGAAATGGCTGGTCTAGCATATTATTATGTGAGGCATCGTGGGGAAATCAGGCGCTCGTCAAAATAACCAAACTAGAGAAACAGGCATTCTTCAGACAGTTTGGCATTTTTTGTCGATCTTTTGTTTCTTGACTCGATCCCTTTCATGTCCATATCAAAACACATTTCCGTGTGAAATTTACCTAAAAACGCTGATTAAGGGCTTACATTATGTCATTTTTTCAGTTTTCAAGGACTTTCGCAATTTGAATTACCAAACTTTGACTGCTATTTTTTCGCTAATTTCATCATCGAAATCAGGCGAACTCATCCCTTTCCTTCGCAAATATCTTGACTTTTGCTCAAGATAGATGGGTATTTTTTACAAACTGAAAGCAAAGCAAATAAATAAATAAGCTTTCAGATAATACCAATAGCTCTACATGCCCCCAAAAATGACGAGCGCCTGATTCCACCACGTCGTGATACATATCATTATTCTTCCTGCCAGAGAACCCTCAGCTGTGATGATTAAATCGTCAACAAGCTTACTTTGTTCCTTTCCTAAGACTTTCATTTTGCAAAGTCAATACATGCTACTGTTTGTCTGTCGACCCAGGACAGAATGAAAAAAACACACCCAAAAACAAAATAACTAATAGTACAGTATAGTCAGTTGAAGATAGATCTGGGAAGTATTTATTGTGCTACCTGGCTTTGCGAATGTCCATTCTGTCCAACGTCTGTCTGAATCCTCAAGAATAGCAAGAGAGTAAAAAAAAAAATAAAGAAAGAAAAGAAGACATAACTAGAAGTAGGGAGGGAACTCTGTTCTCTTTTCCATTTGTGAGGCAGCGTGGTGGAATCAGGCTCTCGTCAAAATAATCAAAGTGAAGAAACTTGCATTTTTCCGCAGGTTTGTGAATTTTTATCAAATTTTTGTTTTTTGGCCTTTCATGCACATTAAAAAACTTATTTCTGTGTGGATTTTTCTGAAAAGCGTTGAATAAAGGCACAAACATGTACATTTTCAGTTACCACGGATTCTTAAGCTAAGGAAATAACTAATCTTTGGCGGCCATTTTTTCCACTAATTTTACCTCTGAATACAGGTGACCCCACCTCCTTCTTTCGCAAATATCTCGACTTGCATACACGATAAATGGATATTTTTTTCATCCAAATAAAGACAACTGAACAAGCTTTAAGATGATACCAGTAACTCTACATGCCCAAAAATTGACGAGAGCCTGATTACACCACGCTGCCTCACATTTGTTGAATTTTGTAGTGAGAATACAAACTTGTCTTGTCCTCAAAGGTAAAGAGACGTGAGCCAAAGACTAGCTACACACATAACTACTACGTCACAGAATGCAAGCGTCTCTAGCAACGGCGTTGGGAGCGAACAATAAGACTTCCTCTTTGGACGGGAACGAAACCGGCGAAATGACGTCATCAGTTTCTGAGCAGGCTGCGCCTTTAATCAGTGGAGAGGACCTGGGAATTGCTTTAATCGTTACCGTTGTGGGTCTGTGTGGCTTGTTCAGCCTGCTCGGCATAGTGACCAACGTGACCAATCTGGTGGTCTTCGCTAAGCTAGGGTTCCAGGACAACATAAACATCAGTCTCATGGGTGAGTTGTCAGCATATTGCTACCTCAAAAGTACGAAGCTCTGTCGGAGACTTTTGCCCGTTTTTGAATGACTAAGACCATGATACCAAAAAACCATATGATTTATCTGCTGCTTTATCAAAATCGTAAGATTATTCGGAGTCGTTATCAGGATGTTCTAAGGATTGCATTCGAAAAAGCTTGGCATGGTGTGAAACTCAAAATATTTGACGTCAAATTCCCCAAAACGATGTACTGAGCAGATAATCTTTGAAATTCGGAGGTAGTGATGTCATTATGTCACCACACCAATTTATGTTTTTTGTTAAGTTTTTTAAGATTATAAACCCTCAAGAGTCACACTCTAATAATCTGCCCATGTTATATGGTCGCTTTTAAGCACAAGGGGGCTATCCCGAAATATTCTGGTTTGAGAAAATCAAAAGTAACCTTTTATGTACCCTTGTTAACAGTTTCTTTGAAAGATAAGGAGAGTTTTCTCTATAACCAAACAAATATACACACCAATTAAACTAAGCTTGTCCTATAGGTAGGGCAATTCCCACTTTTGGTGTAGGTCAAGATTTCTGGATACCCCTGAAATCTGGGTTAGCCTGCTTGTCCTTAAAAGTCCATAACTTCTTCTTTTTACTCAAGTCTTGGTCAAAGGCTTCAACTTAAAGTGGCTTATTTATACCTGGTAGTTTTAGGTCAGTGTGAACGGGTTTTACACACACACACACACACACACACACACACACACACACACACACACACACA